TCACTGAGTTGCTTAGAACCTCGATTTTGCTGAGGCTGGCTTTGAACTTGCGATCCTCCTGCCTCAGCCTCCCCAGCCTCTGGGATTACTGGCGTGTGTCACCGCGCCTGGTGGCCCTTCCCTTCTCTTTCTCTCTGCTTCCTGACCCCACCATGAGCTGGGCCTCTTTCCTCCCTGGGCCCCTCCCCCATGACGTGCTGCCTCACCTTGGGCCAGAGCCATGAAGTTGGTCGTCTATGGATCAGGACCTGTGAAACTACAAACTCCCAATAAAATTTTCCTCCTCTCAGTGGTTCTTGTCAGGTGTTTTGGTCACAGTGATGCAAAAACCAACTAAAACATGAATTTTCACCAGGACTGGGGGTCAGGGTTGTGATAACCTGACCGTGTGGTTCAGAAGCCTCTGCTGCTGGTTTATGGGAGGAATTTTAAACAGTTTAGAGATGCACACTGAAAAGCTTTGGGAGGGTTGTAAGTGGAGTTTCATGGACAGTTCTGTGGGACCTCAGAAAACCAGAATGCCGATCAGAATGTGCTTGTGACGTTTCGAGGGAAATGAGGACTCTCTTGTGAACTGGACTCAAGGCCACTCATGTTATATTTTGGCAAAGAACTGGACTGCATTTGCCCATGTCTTGAGACTTTGTGTCAGGCTGAATTTAAAGATGATGGACTCCTTAATCTGGTGGAGAAAACTTGTGTTTAAAAAAAATTTTTAGATGTTGATGCACATTTATTTATTTATTTATTGGGGTGCTGAGAATCGAACCCAGTGCCTCATACATGCGAGGCAAGTGCTCTACCACTGAGCCACAACCCCAGTGGTAGGTGGAGAAAAATTCAAGATAGCACAGCATTCAGTCAGTGGGGTGAATATTGCTGGCAGCTTTTATCAAGGTTTACTGTGAGAATTGGGAGCAGAGAACAAAGCTAAAAGATATTAAGGTATTGTAGTTTGGCCAGAAAAGTGTAGGTAAAGCTGGGGCCAGGGAAGGTGTGGTTGTTGAAGAGATCACAGCCCCTAAAGTGATGCTAAGGACTTTGCACAGAGACTGAGAAGGATACCTGAGGGCACCTCTGGAATCTACAAGACCACACCCACTGGATAGTTGGCTCCAGGGCACAGAGGAGAAAATTCCTTTGAGAAGAGGTCCTGGGGGTTCCCTGCTTGCACAGAGAGGCCGAGGAAGTTGGTTCACCACGTGGAGCTACACAGGTACTCGGGGTGGGGGGGGGGCGCTGAAGCTGGGATTCTAGGAGCCCAGGTGTTGTGCAAGATGGCAGCAGATCTTGGCATCATCCCTAGGGTGCAGGAATAGGGAAGGGGTCATGGTGGCTTCCCTGAGATTCCTGAAGAAGGTCTGGGAAGCCAGGAAAAGCAAAGCATGGTCAGAGTCCCTGCAGGCCACCCCCGAGAGGGCCACATGTGAAGCTGTGCAGGAGAAGCTAAAGCTGGAATGGAGACCCCAAGAATCGAGAGAGGCTGTAACATGGACTGTCCACTGAGGAAATCTGCTGGATGTGGAGGGCGCCAGGGGCAAAGAGCCCAGGTGGGCTGCTCAAGAGCCCTTTGGAAATGACATGTCATGGCCAAGTGTCCTAGGTCCTGTGTGGGGAGGTAGGAAACCCGTTTGCTCACTGGGTTTCGATCTTTCCTGGTAGCCTCTGTTCATGCCCCTGTTCCTTCGTTTTGGGATGGGAATGTTTACTGGGTGTCGCTGTCTATGGGTTAGATGTAACTTGCTTTTGGTTTTTACAGGGGCTCCCAGCCAAGGGTTTGCCTTGAATCTCACGAGACTCTGGACCTGGATACGACTTCTGGGCAAGGCTGGAACTGTTAAGACTCTGGGACTCTTGGAGATGGGCTAGTTGCATTTTTTCATTGTGAGATAGACATGAACTTCTGGGGACAAGGGACAGACTGTAGTGGTTTGTAAATGAGGTGTCTCCCCAAAGCTCCTGTTAATGCAGGAATTCAGAGGCTAATGATGAGGTCTTGGGAGCTGTCACCTTCTTGGTCCATCCTGGTTTGACGGAGCTGGGTGGTAGCTTTAGGCATGGGGGGTGTGGCTAGAAGGGGTGGCCTCTGGGCGCGAGTTCTGAAGGGTGCATCTTCCCTGGGTCCTTCCCACCTCTGCTTCCTGACCCTGCTTCAAGCTGAGCCATGTCCCTCTGACGGACTCTTCTCCAGGAGTGGCTGCCTCACCTTGGCCCGAGCCATGGACTTGGCTACCTATGGACCGAGACTTCCAAAACCATGAGCCCCAAAGAAACTCTTCATCCTCTAGGTTGTCCTTGTTGGGTGTTTTGGTCACGCTCAGGAGGAAGCAGTCACCAAGCCCACGGATTGCTTGTTTCCATGGACATAAAGCATCTTCAAATGGTAGATTCATAGAGACCGAGTCATTAGTGGATGGTAAGGGCCAGAAGCGGACCTCGGAGATTGGAAATCCACTGTAAATGAGGATGAGGTTTCTCTCATATTTTTATTGTGGTGAAATATACGTAAAAGAGATCATTGAACTATGTTAAGTGTATAATTTGGTGACATTAACAGGGCTGGCAATGTGACTCAGAGGACCAGAGAGAGGGCAGGACCTCCGAGGCAGAGGGAGGTAGGGAGGCTCAGAGAGAGCAATGGGGACACGAGGGATGGGAGGGCGTCCGGGAAAGGGATCCGGTCTCAAGACAGAGGCTTCATGGGGGACGGCATCTTGGGGAATTGACGTGGGGCCTCTGAGGGTGGTCTGGGGTGGAGAGGTTGGAGTGGGGGCCCGGCAGGCATCTGGGCTCTGGGGTGGAGGGTGCACTTGCAGAAGACCCCGGGGTTCAGGCCCCGTGATGGCAGGCGGAGCTCCCCATTCCCTCTCTGCCTCCTCCTCCCTGCAGGCACGGGTCCCCTGTTTGGCTCTGGGGTGCTGGTGAAGGGGCCCACAGAGGCTGGTAGGTGGGCACTGCCCACACCCTGGCCTTCTCCCACCGTGTGGCCAGGCCCTTCCCACCACCAAAGGCTTTGACGGGTGGTCTTCAGCAGATGGTTCCATGGGAAATGGGGGCGGGGTCCACAGTCATCAGAAGGACCCTGGGACCCAGAGGAGGTGCGTCCCAGCCTTCATTTAATTGTTAAGTGAAGGTGTCCTTGTGGATGCACTGTGCTTTCTTTACCCAGGTGTCAGCTGCTCCCACTCTGGGCACCCCTGGGCACGGCACACAGTGGGGCTCAGTCGGCAGGGGGGCGGGTTCAGTCCACTTGAGGGCTGGACTGAGGGCTGAATCCCAGCCTCTGCCTGGTCCCGGGTTCCCAGCAGACCCTCACCTCCTGAGCCTGCTTCCCCCCAGAGAAGCCTCTGTCCCCAAGACCAGGGGACAGTGCCATGACACTCTTGGCATTGGAGACCCACTGGGTGAGTGCTCTGCACATGACAGGAACCGGTCACCAGAGCCGCCCCACCCCACTCCCTCAGCAGAAGGGGGCCCAGCCAGGATTTGAAGGCACCTCTGAGTCCAAAAGGCTAGTTGTGTTTTCTAGTGCTTTCCATGGGTCAAGGCCGGTGCCAAGTGCCATGCGCTCACGCCCTCCCCTTGAGCCCCCCGGGCTTGTGGGGGGTGGCTGCTCTAGGGGCCTGGGGGATAAAGGCGGGGTCCTGGCTCTTGATGGGGGGATTGGATGCACTTCTTCCCGCCTCCAAGTCCGCAAGCATGTGAAGAAGGGCACCGAGGGAACCCGCCAGAGCGGTGAATGCAGCTGCTAGGCTCTCTACCGCCTCCCCTTCACAGAGGTAAAAACTGGGGGCAAGAGCAAAAAAATGTTTGCAACCTAGAAAACACAGAGGACCAAATTCATCAGAGCCCCAAAGCAGAGACAACCTAAATGTCTACCCATTGACACAAATAAAACAGGGAACACGGGTTCTGTGGAATATAATTGGCAATAAGAAGAAAAGAAACCTTATCAGACACAGTGATCACCTCTGATCCCAGTTCCTCAGGAGGCTGAGGCAGGAGGATCTCAAGTTCAAGGCCAGCCTGGGCAACTCAGTGAGACTCCCAACAAAATTTTAGAAAGGACTGGTGATGTCGCTCAGTGGTAGAGCCCTTGCCCAACATTCGGGAAGCCCAGGATTCTGTTGTCAGTACACCCCCTCAAAAGTGTCACTTTCGGGGATGAAGTGAGGGGGGTCGATCTTCCGGACTCTTACCTCAGCCTGGGCCAAGAGAGGTTAAATGATTTCCCAGGGAGGGACAGGAACCAGGGCCCAGAGAGGGGCAGCTTCCTGCCCACAGCTATCCAGCCAGGAGGCTCCAAGAGCCTCAGCCTCAGCTCCCAGAGTTCAAACGTGCGTGAGGTTCCAGCCCCAGCCCCGGGCTGACCCCTGGCCGTCTCCTCTTTCTGACTTCTCAGGGAAAAAAAAAATTAAAACAACACAGGCCCGGAAGCATCCATCATGTGCTGTCCATCTCGGGCCAGAGAGGCAGGGGTCAGCAGGGAGGTGACCTCCAGGCCTCCGTGGAGGCCAGGATCCGGTGGGGCTGGGGGTAAGAGGCTGGAAGTTTTCCCACCCTGAGATTTTCCTGCATCAACCCAGGAGGGCGCCCTGGATGCCGCCGGCCCCACCCCCCACCTCCTTCCTCTCTTGACGCGGCTTCCCGGCCAAGGATGGATGGGCGGGGAGGCCATGCCAAGGTGCACCCACCAGGACCAGAGTGGACAGGATGATGGTCCCTGCTCAGAGTGGCCCAGGGCCGGCCTCAGAGCCACACAGCCCAGGGACTTGGAGTCAACGGGTGGCCGGCAGCTGCGGTGGCCTCCCGCAGCCTCCACTGCCCTGCGTGACAGCTGGACCCCAGCCTGGCCTTGGACGGGTGAGAAGCCTTGGCCCTGGGCCCTGCCCCCGTCCTTCCTCCGCCACACTCAGGACTCAGCCCTTCCTAGTGTTAAATAGAAACCTCTTTATTCTAAGTATCGAACATTCCTTAATACGTTGGATGGGGGCCAGACCTTGAGGTGAGGGGAAGGGGGGGCTGGGATATTTTTGTAGAACCTTCCAGAACACCACCCTTACACAGGGCTGTGGGGGAAGGGAGCCCTGGCAACGCGCTCCTTGGCCTTGGGAGGGCCTTTGCTCCCTCTGGCCTCTGCTTCCCGTCGGTGGGAGAGTTTGGGGCTGGCGGAGAGGACCTCACAGGCTCTTCCCACCCCAGGGCTCTGTGGGCCGGGCAGCGAGTCTCGGGCAGTGGCACAGGGGCATGGCGTCTCAGCAGCAAAGTGGGGGGCACTAAGGCCGAGGGCTGGGAGAGCCTCAGCGCTGGGCCCGGGGCCTGGACAGGGACAGAGGCCGAGGCCGCAGGGGCAGACAGGCCAGGCTGGGCCTGGCCAACCGGGACAGGGGGAGGCGGCCCACGGAGAGGGGGAGGCTGAGGCAGAAAGAAGGGCGGGGCACGGGGATGTCCGAGAAGAAGGCCCGATCCCGAGGGGGCGACAGGGCTCCCCCCTCACAGAGTTCCAGGTCCCGGGCCACGGCCAGGATCTCCTGGCGCGTCGCAGTGTTGTGCAGTCCGCGCACGTCGAGGAGGGCCGCCACGTGCTTCCGCCTGCGGGTAGAGGAACGCACAGGGTCGCAGGGGTCCTGGCTCTGGACGCCCATCCAGTCCACCTGCAGACCCCACCTGAGTCCCTCCCAACACAGAATCTGGAGCCCCCTGGCCCTGTTGTCCGAATCGTCTCCTCCCCTAGTCTTTCTCCGGCCAACCATTGCGAAATCCTCCCCTGTGAGCCCAGATGGACAGCACAGTCAATTTCAGAACATTCCTCTCCAAATGCAGCACAGGGGTCTTCCTGTTCACCCCAAGTCTCAGCTGCTGGTTAAAATTAACCTTCAGCCCCAATTTAGCTCAGCTCTCCTAAATTTCCATCCAGGTATCCTTGCAACTACTGGATCCCACAACAAACCCTGAGCTTCTCCTTCAGGGTCCGACCAATTGGCTCCACGATCATCTCCTGTGTCCACCCAGAACCGTGCACCCACACTCCACTCCTAGCTCTCACCTTTCCCTGAGGCCAGGACTGAAACCTTCATTCCAAACTCAACTCAGCGGCTCTCTATTTGGATCTCATTCTAGAACTTTCATTCCCAAATTTGAACCTAGAATACTCAGGACCTTGTCTCCGGCCCCCACACCCATGCTCCACCAAAATTCCACCCCAGGACTAGAACTCACCTGGGGGACTCTCACCCCCATCAGAAGCCTCAAAATCAACTCTATTCTGTAACATTCTTCCCTAAATCCTCCTTCCCCTCCATTCCCCCCTCAACTCCGAAACACGGCCCCAAATGAATCTCCAGAGCCATCATATATTTCAATTCAAGACACTGAGCCCAACACTCATTTCCAGAACTTTCACTTGGTGCAAATCTCTGAGGTTTCCACAGCCACCTCTGACCCACCTCCGTGTCTTCATCTTCCCACATCCTGAGTTTGCAATCCTTGCAGCTCCCAAACACAAATCCCAATCGTGGCTCAAGAACCTTCAGCCCCAGCCAAGCTCCAGAACATGGCTTTGAAACTAGTCCTCTCAGCCCAGCCTGTGAACTCTCAGATTTAGCTTCAGATTCAAGTTGGGATCCACTACCCAAGATTCAAGTTCAGAAACTCCAAACCTGGAGGAATGCTGGAACCCTTAGGGCTCCAGGCCTTCCTAAGGATGTGACTCCCGCCCCTGCCCCCACTAGGGATCAGTTCCAGACTCCTCATCCTCAACCTGGAACCCAATCCTGCTTATGCCTCACCCTGGTTTCTGTGGGGCTTGTCCCTCTGAGTGGAGAAGGTCTGGGGGCCAGAGCACTGTGAGCCCATGTGCTGCCAGATTCAGGTCCCCTTTCCACTTGCTAAGTGGGATATTTGGGAAACTGAAATTTCTGCGTGTAGCAGATGAGTGACTAACTGTAACTGGACCTCTTGCACAGTGGGCGTGCAGGATGCGCATTTAGGACCGACATACAGACTCCGCAAACTGCCCGGAGTAATGATGCCGACCAATTCCCCCAAGAATTCTAAGAAAACGGCACTATTATCCCCAGGGAGCAGATGAGGAAACTGAGGCTCAGAGGTCACATAGGAAGGAAACGGCCCACCAGGATTTGGATGGCGCCTGCGCCTGCCACTGTCCCAGTGCGTGTGCGCCCGCGTGCCCGTGCCTGTCCCCGTGTCCCCCGCGGCTCCCCTGCCGGGCCGGCCCTTCCTGCCTCCCAGCGGCCCTGCGCCCCCCTGCCCTGCCTGGGCTTCCTGTGACCGCCTGTTTGTTTGCGAGTCCTGGTGGCGGTGGCGGCAGCGGCGGCAGCGTCAGGAGGAGGGAAATCGTATTAATAATGCCTTGGTTCCAGCAGGAAACGGCCGTCAGACACGCTCGCCGCCTCCCTCCCTCGCCCGGGGGCAGGAAACGCAGGGACGGATGCCAAGGCCGCCAGAGACGGGCAGGCGGCGGGGCGGGAGCGCAGGCGGCGGGCGCTCACCTGATGTCTGGGTAGTCGCGCACCAGCACCCCCACCTCCACCTGGATGCTGGGCGTGTCTTCCAGCTGCAGGACTTCAGCCAGGTGCGGCACCACGGCGTCCAGCCACGAGGCCTGGGACTCCTGGGGGTGGTGGGGTGCAGGGCTCACATCTCAGTTCAGTGCCCCCTCCCAGAGCCACCCTCCCAGGACGGAGCGTCCCCTGCTCTGGCTTCTCCTGGCCTTGGTTTTTCCCATCTGTACAAAGGGTCAGAAGACCGGCTGGCCGGGGGTTATCTGGAACCTTCAGATATTTGAAGGACAATCCATAATGTAATCTATACCCGGTTTTGCAGATAATCGGGAGCTGGGCCACATGACTCGAAATCTATTCCAAGTTTGCAAAATGTTGCCATTTGGGGAAAACTGGATAAAGGGTACAGGGAGTTCTGTGCGAGCTTTCTTACAACAAGTGCATGTGATTCCACAATTATCTCAAAAAAGTTTCCAAAAAAAAAAAAAAATTCCAAGGACTCCAGGCTAGAAACCAGAACAGTAGTTGACTGGGGACCTTCCAGTCCTGATGGCTACAAATGGGTTCAAACAAGATTTGGTGGCTTAACATTCTTAGATTAGGAGACGTTAGGGTTCCGAGTTTCTGTCCGGTTCTGTTTGGGCTCATAATCATGGTTAACGTTCAGGGGTGTCAACGCTGCCAAGGGACTGCCCTAAGCATCGCACAGGAACTAAGCGATCTAACCCCGCAACAATGGGTGGGGATCGTTATTTTATTCTGCACCTGAGGCCAGCTCAGAGTCCCTGCAGCCGGAAAGCCCGGGTCCGCGCCAAGGTCACTACGCGCTAAGCCTCGCGGTCCGCCGAGAGTGGTCTTTGAGTCCTGGGAGGGACTCTGGGGAGCCAAGGGCAGCCCTGGCTCGGGGCCCCCACTCACCAACCGCCTGAACAGCCTCTGCAGCTGCGCCGCGTCCTCCCGGAGCCTCCCGGCCATGCGGCTGCGGGTCCGCGCGGAGCGACAGTGCAGGCGCCCGCGGAGCAGCGGCCGCACGTACTCGACCAGGGCCCGCCGGTGCAGCTCCGCCACCAGCGCCTGCGGGAGGCGGGAAGCAGGTGCGAGGGTGTGAGCCCCACCCGGCCGCCCCGCACCCCGCCGGGCCCAGGCTGCGGGACCCCTTCCCCCAACTCCACCGCCCACGCCGGCTCCAGGCGCCCAACCCTCCGGTGCCCACGGGCGCCCATTCCTAGCCCTCAGCCCTCAAGCAGCCCTGCGGACCCCCACCCGGCGGCCCTGTCCTACCCGATGATGCCCTCCCAGGCCCCTTATCCGTCCCCACAGCCCGCCTAGGGGCCCCGTCCCAGCATCTCCTCAGTCCCCAAGTTCTACCTTCAACATCCCCACTCGGGCTGCACCGGACCCCCACACCCATCCCCAGGAGCCTCCCCTCCGGCCCCAGCAGGTGCCACCTCTCTGGCCCCGCGGAGCCACTCCCCACCTCGAGGGGGTCTCCCCCAGATCCTTGCTCCCCTCACCCGCCCTTCTCCCCACCGCAGGCCGCACACCTGGTAGGGCTCATCCTGCATCCTGCGCAGTGCCAGGGCCTGAGCGCCCAGCGTGCCCACGATGCCATCCAGGGCCTCCGGGCTGCTCAGCCACTTCCGGCGCATCAGCTTGTTGAAGTATGGCTGGGTGGGACAGAGTTCAGGGAAGTCACCGCTCTCCTCCTTCCCCCTCCCTCTTTCCTCAGGAATATGATCTCTAAACCCTGCTCAGAGCTTAACCTAGGGTGTGGGGGGTGTGGGGACACAGCAGCAGGAGGAGACAGCCCCCACCCCGTCCTCCTGGGGCTCACAGTCCAAAGGGGAGGCAGACTGGTCCCCAGACAATAACCCAGAGCTGGCAGGGCCACAACAGGGGAACCAGGGGTTTAGGAAGCCTAGAGTCCATGGTGGGCTGACCCAGCATGTGAGTCAAGGAGGGCTGCCTGGAGGAGGAGGTCAGGCCCTGACTCTGGCCATGGTTAGGAGCATGAGAGGGAACTGTTCATTCAGAGGGAACAGCATGCCAGTCAGAGCACCAGGTAAAGGTCCCTGTGGCTGGCCAGACCATCGGCACAGTTCTCCAGGTTCCCGAGACAGGAAACTGGGGACCCTCATTCAAAATCACCAAGAACTTTAAGGCAATGACAGCAGACCTTTAGGGAAGCTTGGACCTAAGTGTGTGTTGGGAACTGTGCGACTCTGGGGCCCACACCAGTGGCTTTTTCCAGGCACGTGGCTGGGGATTGGAGAGAAGGGTCTAGATGGCAGGGCTGGAGCACACAGGGCCGTGCCAGCTTTCACACTAGGGAGCACTAGGGAGCCATGGCAGGTTCGGGACAGGGCAGAGGAGAGGGTTAGGTTTGTGCTCTACCCAGATTAACGGGAGGAGGCAAGACTGGGCAGAGGCAGAAATTAGGGAGGAGGCTGAAGGGGAGCACAGAGGAGAAGAGGGAGGGAGAAAGGAGGATCCAGGTGGCAGAATTCACAGGCGACAGTTAGTGATTCTGGCCGCGAGAGAGGGAGTGTCTGGAAGGGCCTAGGGATGGTGGCAGTGGGTCTGTGCCTGAGATGGAGGCAGGGAGGCTCAGGGGACACAGGGGCCGTGAGGTGCTGACACACGGGTTGGTGTCCAGGCATCTGCAGCAGGCTCCATCCCGTGCCCCCCTTCCTCCCCTTCCTCCTGACAGCGGCCCGTTTCCTGCCTCCAAAATGGGGCCCCCCTGTCAGAGGCGCACAATACCCAGGTGTGCACACTCACATGTGGGCCATTCCCTCGTCACACGGCTGTCACACTCACACCAGTGCATGGTCTGGCTTTGAGTCCATCTCTCCTAGTCTCTGTCTCTTCCCAGTGTCCCTCTGTCTCTGTCCCTCTGTCTCGCCAATCACCCTCCTTCCCCTGTCTCCCTTAGTCTCATCCTCCCTCTGATTGATTGAGATGGAGGACTTGAGCCAGTGGCCCAGGCCTGCTCCACACAGCAGGAGTGAGATGGGAATTTAAGGAGCAGACCCCCGTCTGTCTGCATCAGCTCCAAGTCTGCTGGGGCCGGGGCGTCTGTATAAAATGACACCGTTAGCGGGGCGCCATGGCGCACACCTGTGTTCCCAGTGGCTTGGGAGGCTGAGGCAGGAGGATTGTGAGTTCAAAGCCAGCCTCAGCAACTTAGCGAGGCCGTGACCAACTCAGTGAGACCCTGTCTCTAAATAAAATATTAAAAAGGGCTGGGGATGGGGCTCAGTGGTTAAGCACCCCTGGGTCCAATCCCCAGTACCTCCAAAAAATGACACTGTTGGTTATATTTGTTTAAAAAGGATTTCTTATGGTTGGGAGATACAGCCTAAAGTGTTGGTAGATGTGAGGGGATTTTAACAGAATTCAGTGGGGTGGGGCCAGGGCTTTGGGAGACAAATGTAGCAGGGAGTGGGGAGGGGGAGTCTCAGGGGTTCTGGTTTTTTAAAGAGACGAGGTTCTCATCATGTGATCCAGAACTCCTAGGCCCAAAGGAGCCTCCTGCCGCAGCTTCCTGAGTAGCTGGGACTCCAGGTGCGGGTCTGTGTGCCCCACTTAGTGGAGCTTCTGTTTTAAGTGATCAGGGAAGGTCTCATTGAGAAGGTGACCTTTGGGTCAAAATTTAAAAATGGTGAGACAGGGAGCTACGGGGATATCAGAGGGAGAGCATGCCAGGCAGAGGGAGTGACAGATGCAAAGGCCCAGAGGCAGGGATGTGCCTGCTGTGGGCAGCAAGAGGCTGGCAGGGCCTGAGTGGAGCAAGGGAGGAGTGAGGTACAAGGTGACGAGGTCTGGGACACTGTGTGGGGCCCTGGGACCGTGGACGGGTTTGGCTTTTGCTCTGAGTGACTTGGGAGGCATGGGAGGCTCCTGGCAGAGGTCTGCTGTACCTGTAGTGAAGGCCACCTCCATGCACCTCCCCACGCGCTCTGGTGCTGGCTCCATGCACTCCCACACCTGGGGACCTAGCCCCTTGGGGGGACACAGGGACCCAGAGATGCACAAATGGGACCCCAGGGACCAGGAGAGCTGGGCATGGATTTGGGGGACCTCAGTGTCGAGGGCTCCACCCCAGCCCCCTCCTGCTGGTGGCTGTCTGTCCTTCCCCCGCCACATCCTCCCACCTCTTCCTTCCTGCACCCCCCTCTGCCCCCCAAACAGCGCAGGCATGGCCATCACCCCCACCTCGGCCTGCTTCCTGAGCCCTGGGTCATGGGCTGAAGGGAGCTGCAGAGGGGGGGCTGCCTGCACTGGCACAGCCCCCAGCCCCTGGCGCACTCACCTGCAGCTCCTGGAACAGCATGTCAGCCAGAACGCGGTGGCACAGCCTGGTCACGCGCTCCAGGGAGCTGGCGGAGGCCTCCCGGGCAGGCTCGCTTTCAGGGGGGCCCACCCTGGCCAGGCGCTCGGCCAGAGCCCTGCAGGGACCAGTGAAGCCGAAAGTCAAGGGGCCCGGCACCTCGGCCCACTCCCGGCCCCAGCCTCCCCAAGGTGGGCCCTGTTTTATGGGGTGCACGAGTGACAGGTCAGGTGGGGGGCTCTGGGGAAGGTCTAAGGCCTGAGAAATGTCAGGGAAAGCCTGGGGCTGGGTGTCTGCAGGGTGTGCAGGGTCTAGGGAATGGGGTGCTCAAGGACTCTGGGGTGTTGGGCTGGGGGTGCAGAGGCCTGGGAGATCCCGGGGGATGTCTGGGAAGCTGGGAATATCTAGAGGAGACTGGGGCGTTCCAGGCAGAGACTCGGGAATTTCAGGAAGCCGGGGACTATGTGGGGGCCGGGGGATGTTAGGAGACTAAGGGGTGTCTGGGGCTGAGGGTGTCAGGAGGCTGGGGACATCAAGGGTCTAGGGAATATGGGGGAATTAAAGAGGTCTCTCTGGGTCTCTGTTTCTCTTGGTGCTTTGTAGATGGAGGTGAAGAGGCCTCCATTCTGTCCGTGGTTCTAAACTTAGTCTGCAATTCTGAATTCTCCCTCTCATTTCTGTCACTGTCCCCTGGACCCTCTCTGCAGATCTCCTTCTGGGAACATGCCTGCCCAGAGGCCCCGCACTTACAGGGGATGACAAGCAAGCAGGGTTCTTCCCTGGAGCTGTGGAATCACATGTCCATCCACTGGGGATGATTAAACCAGTGACGGTGTGGGCAAGCACAGAATGTGGTTCCCATATCAAAAAGGAACACGGTGACCTTTTTTCCTTTTGCAGAACAGGGATGGAACCCATGGCCTCCAGGGTGCTAGGCAGTGCCCTACCATAGAACCCCTCCAGGCCCTGGAGCATGGGGACACTTTAAAGCATCAGTGGGAAGATCCCCAAGCTGTTAGGAAGTATTCCACTATCTGTGCGGTCAGCCCAGCGTGTCCACATGCTCCGCACCACGGATTTAACCAACCGTGGATGGAGAAGATTCAGAGAAAAAAATGCACCCGTAGCAAAACACGTAGATTTTTTCTTTCATCCTTCCCCAAACAATACAGCATAGCAGCTATTTAAACACAGTCACCATCGTATTAGGGATCATAAGTCATCCAGAGATAGGGTCAGGCATCAAGGAGGAAGTTTGGAGGTTCTATGCTAACACTTCACTTAAAAAAAAAGAAAAAAAAACTAGGGGTGCTCAACCTAGGAGCCACATCCCCAGCCCTTTTTAAAAATATTTTTTTTTTAATTTAGAGACAGGGTCTTATTAAGTTGCTTAGGGCCTTGCTCAGTTGCTGAGGCTGGCTTTGAACTGGTGATCCTCCTGCCTCAGCCTCCCAAGCTGCTGGGGTTACAGGTGTGTGCCCCTGCACCTGGCCAACACTACACATTTTATATAGGGGACTGGAGTGTCCATGGATTTGGTATCCACAGAGGGGATGAAGGGGGCAGGGAGATGTCCTGAAACCAATCCCCACCATGGATACAGAGAAAAGACTTCATGAAACAGGAAGGGGGGCGGGAGCAGAAGGAAGGAGGAGGGGAGGAAGAGAATATATATGTATATAGTTAAATAGATTCACTTGTATTTGTATAAATATGTGTGCACATTCATATATACACTTATTTATACCTGTTACTGGTAAATATTTGAAATGCCCCCGCAAAACACACACACACACACACACACACACACACACACACACACACACACACATACTAGTTGTCCCCAAATGGGGAGGAGGGGAGGCGGGAAGACTTATTATTTCATATATTTTCATGTGAATGTGTTACCATTTGTTTTAGATGTTCATGCACCATTATTTCACTTATTTATTTATATGTGGTGCTCAGAATCAAACCCAGTGCCTCACACATCACAGGCAAGTGCTCTACCACTGAGCCACAACCTCAGCCCCATGTGTCACCATTTTTTAAAAGTGCCATTGAAGAGCTGGAGGTACGCAGCTCAGTGGTAGAGATGTGCCTAACAGGTACGGGGCCCTGGGTTCAATCCCTAGCACCAATAAATAAATCAATTTAATCAAATTCAATTTAAAACAAGTTAATAGTCAGGCATGGTGGCACACACCTGTAATCCCAGCAATTTGAGAGGCTGAGGCAGGAGGATTGAAAGTCTCAGGCCAGCCTCAGCAACTTGGCAAGACTGTCTCAAAATAAAGAATAAAAAGGGCTGGGATGTGGCTCAGTGGTAGAGTGACTGCTGAGCATATGTGAGGCCCTGGGTTCCATCCCCAGTACCAGGGAAGGGGCTGGAAGGAAGTTAATTTTTAAAAAAGCAAAATAAAAAGAAATATAGAAATGCACACAATTCTGGAGCCTTTGAGTCTGGCTTCCAGGTTATCTATTATCCTAATACTTCAGTATTCTGATTACTCTATAATTCTAATTTGTGATTCTATGTGTTACTTTTTTTCTAGAACTCCCATATTGTATGTTCTCAGGTCCCATGTGCATGGCCCCCTGGGTCAGCCTTGAGATTCCCACCCAGGACCTGGACACTCCAAATCAGCTGTCACCCAGAACAGGCGCCTCCACAGCCCGACGATGCGAGTGCGCTCACCTCAGTGGGGGCCCACAGTTGACCAGGGAGATGGTCCTGCTGATGTAGGTGTCAGAGGGCAGCTCCCGGATTCCTGGGTGCTCATGGAATCTCTCCACGCGCTGTTGGAAGCTGGGGGGAGAAGAAGGGGCCGTTGGCATGATAGGGCCCCTGGCCGAGCACTCAGCCTTTCAGTCTGCGACCCTGATCCCTCCCGGGCCCCTCTGCCCATCCTTACTCCTCCTCTATAAGATCCCAGGTCCCGGTACCCAGCCCCAGCCCCGCCCCCCGCCTCCAGCCCCGCCCCTCGGTCTGCAGACCCCCTACCTCTGCAGGAACTCTGCCAGCCCCCCCAGGCAGCAGTGTGCCATCCGCTCCCCAAATTCCTGGCTGATGCGGGGCGCTCGCTCTGTGTGCTCTTCCAGGAGCTGCGTGGGCCACAGGAGAGAGGTGAGGTGGGGGCAGGCACAGCTGAAGGGCGCCCCTTCTCCTCCCGCCTCCTACCTCGCACACGTCCTGGGCCAGGCTGCTGGACCAGTCCGCCGCGTCTGTCCAGTGCTCCTCATCTTCCTGCAGCACCCGAAGAAGGGCTGCCCGCGTCTGAGCCTGGAGGAGGAGGAACACGGGAGGCAGGCGGGAGGCAGGGGACGCCGGTGGGTCTTTCTCTCTCATCCACCAGGATCCCCTACCTCTGGAGCCCCAGAGGGTTCTGGATTTTACCTACAGACCCTAAGCTGAAGGTGATGCTGGGGAGAGGGACTGAACCAGAAAATCTATTTAACCCTTTCCGTTCCTAAGTCTGTGGTTTGGAGCTTTTATACTGAGTCTGTGGGTTAAGCTTCCTCCATCTCATAGGGGTCTATATTTTCACTGCGTGAGGGAGCTAAAACTCTGCTCCCAGAGTTTTAATTAGTTCAAGACTCAGACTCTTGAGATTCAAGAACTCCAAAGGCTTACGCAGCATCTCTCGTTCTCTGGTCCAGTGGATTGTCTTCAATTCAATAAGCTAGCCATGTGATTTCTGGACTCTAGACTCTGGGGTTACAAGGATCAGATTTCTGTGGCTGGGGCAAGATTAGCATCAGCCAATAAATCCCACTGTGGCCAGGCCAGGCCGGTTGGCTGGGGCCGTTCTGTTATTTACTGCATTCACTATCAGCGCAGCCATGATAAAAAGATGTTTTGGTATTGCACAACATGTTTGCATTCCTGAGCTGATGTTCTGTGACAGCTTTCTCCTGATCTAAGATTTGAAGGGTCCAAGGTTATGGAACCTGTATAGACAGTCTCTTCTTCAGGGCTCTGGTGCTTGGCACAGAACATGGAACGGAAATGACCAGGGTGGGCTGGCTGGCATGTCTATGGCCTTTGACAGAAGTCAAAAGTTCACAAAGAGAAAGGGAGATGGAAATAGTGAATGGAGGAGGGGAGACCCCCCCAAGCCCACTGTGACCCCTTCCTCTCTACAGAGCAACTCCAGCCCCAAATCACCAATGCCAAGTCCCAGGTACCTTGACATCTGTGACACATTCATCCTCCAAACCACGAAGAGTCCCAGGGGAGAGAAGGGGGCCCAGCTCCCCATTCTCCAGGGCGACCATGTCCACCAGCCCTAGGACCTCCCTGGAAAGTGGGAGATAAGAGACAGGGAGATCTGTGAGAGGAGGGGCTGGGCAAAGGGGCCCACCTGATGACCTCCCACCGTGTTTGGGACCCTGGGCCACTCCCTTCCTCTTTCAGGGCCAGCTTTGCTCATCCCTCAGCGGAAGTCCTTGCCCTGGCTCCAGATCTCTGAGTCAGCTCCCTGATGGATGGTGTCCGGGCAAGACTTACAGGGGTCAAGTCTAGGCTTGCTGATCTGACACGCAAGGCCTCTCCCACAATCTACTTAGTCAGACAGAGGCTCCTTTCTGCCTCTGCTTCTAGGTCCTGCTTCTCTCCTGGCCTCAGGGGCTCCCCAGTCCAGCCCCCGTAGTCCTCCTCCTACTTCCCTGCATGCCTGGGCTGAGCAATATCACCACAGTCAGGTCACCCCTACTCCAGCCTACCCGCACCTGACTTCTGCTCATTGCATCTGCATGAACAGAAAAGCCATCTCCCCACAGGGGCGGGGCATGAACCATGTCTCACTGCTCCTGGAAGCTTTCCAGACCCCCACCCTGCCTCCACCTCTCCAGATGGTCTGGGAGCATCCTTGACGGGGAGGAGAAATGGGGACGACAGGGTCAGTGCTGGTACCACTGCCCTCTCATTCTTCTGATGACAACTTCCCAAACCCCTCACTCACCGAGGTACAATTTGGGGTGGCAAACTCCCCTCTCCGGGAGAGGATATGTGACCAAATGTAACTCATCACCAAATTCCATTCCCCCACCACAAGAAGGGTAAGATTAGGATGCAAAGGTCAGTGGCTATAAGATTCTAGGCCTGGGAGGGTCAGTCATGTCCAGGTCTCAGCACCAAGAGCGGGTGAGGCTAAGGTGTGGGATTTGAAGGCTCACAAGGTGCTAAGAAAGAGCCATGAATTCCACAGTTCAAAGATAGGGCGAGTTAACAGCCCTAAGATGGAAAGAGAGAGAGCAGCTAGAATTCTAAGGGCCAAAAATAGTCAAGTTGAAGGTCAGTTCTGCCAAGGTTCTAGCCCTGGAACAGTCCAGGGTGCTAAAATTCTAGGGCGGGAAGTCTGAACAGCTAGGATTCTAGCTGTGTAGGTGTCATCCCTGCTACTTTTCTGGACTGGAAGAGTCCACCGTGCTCAGCTATCAGGACTGCTATGTCAAGGTTGTGAGATGTGTGTGTGTGTGTGTGTGTGTGTGTGTGGTGCTGGGGATTGAACCCAGGGCCTTGGGCATGCAAGGCAAGCACTCTACCAACGCAGTTATTTCCCCAGCCCACGATTTTAGAACTGAAACAACCTTTGGTGTGAATGGGTTCTGGGTCAGGAAGTGTGGTGGGTGCCAAAGCCTAAGGACAGGATTGTCAATGTTACTAAGGTTCTAGAAGCGTGTCCATGATGGGTCTGGGTCTGGAAGGATCAATGGTGCTAAGATCCCTAAGAGTGTAAGTGTCCATATTGTCCAGGGGCTGGGACTAAGGTGAGAGGTGACAGCGCTGAGATTCTAGGATTGTGCTGAGGCCTGAATAGTCAATGGTGCTATGGTGTCTGGTTCTAGGACTGAAGGGCTGGCGTTTCAAGGTCCCTAGGATCTGAGGAGGCCAGGGTGGGGCTGGGGCTCTGTGCAATCTTACAGCGGCGGTCCCGCTCACCTGGGGTACACCTGATTGTGCCAGTGCAGCAGGGCGTAGCGGTCCGCCAGCGGCAGCCTCCGGCGGGCGGAGGCCCCCAGCCACTCTGCCAGTGCGCCGTGATAGCCGCGCAGGTAGACGCCAAAAGCGCCCAGGCCGGCGGGGTAGGCGGGTGCCAGGCGGCCGCGCACCACGGCCATGTCCTCCAGCAGCCGCGCCCGCAGAGCCTCCAGCTGCCCGGCCAGGCCCCCGGGCGCCCCGGGCGCTGCCGCCTCCAGGCGCTCTCGCGCGGCTCGGGCCACGGCCTCCGCCCAGCGGGCGCGCAGCTTGCGGGCCGCCCCGGGCCCCCGGCGCCCATCGGCCGCCTCCTCCTGCACCAGCACCTGGCCCAGCTGCGCCACTGCGCCCGCCCCTGCGCCCGCGCCGGGCCCGGGTCCCGCCAGCGTCTCGCGCACCAGCGCCCACAGCTCGCGCTGCAGGGCCTCGTACAGCAGCGCCACGTCCCGCGCTCGGCGGCCCCCGCTCGCGCCCTCAGCCACCGGCGGCCCTGGCGCGCCCCCCGACGACGCCAGCTCCTCCGCCTCCAGCTCCAAGATGTGCTCGTCGGCCCGCGCCAGCTCGCGCTGCTGGATCAAGCTCAGGATCTCCAGCACTGTGGGGAAGAGGGAGGTCAGGGCGCCCGCCCGAGGCCCGGCCCGGGGACGGGTGGCTAGGAGAGGACGCAGGGATGGGTTCCGCGAAGGGGCAGGCGAGGGGCAAGGTGGGGGAGGAGGGGAAGGGAAGTGGAGTGCGGGTGGGAGAAAGTGGGGACCAGGCTGGAGGAGGAAGTCAAGAGAGGGTGGAGGGAAGATGGGGGTCCGGGGTGGGGGAGGGCAGGGGTGGAGGGCCGGGAGGTGAGGTGACAAGAGAGAGGGCCAGGGCACCAAGGAGGTAGGGGGCAGGAGCTTTGAAGGTGGGAGAGGAACCTGACCACGGGATGTGGGGGCCACAAGACTACAAGGTGTCAGATGAGGAAGAGGGTGGAGAGGAGGAGGGGGAGGCCCGGGGAGGGGTGCGAGGGGGAGGGGCGGGGAAGAAGGGAAGGGTCCAGGGGTCAGGGGATCCAGAAGGGCTTTAGGCAGAGGGAAATGTGCCTCAGGGTTGGAGGGAGGGATGAGAACTGGGAAGGGGGGGAAATAGAGGAGGGTCCCGGAAGGTGGAGGGCTGAGCCAAGACACAAGCCAGGTGAAGGGTGCCAGATGGAGACCACCAGGAGGCGGGGCAGAGCAGGGAGAGGGAGAAAGATGAGGGGACGGTAGATGGGGTCTTGGGGGGTTGGCATGGCTGTCGGGGTAAGCTGGCACTTTGGAAATGTTACACGCGCCCCGGGAAAGGGAGTCATGGGGTTGGGAGGCTCTGGCCAAGGCAGAGGGAGGGTCCACGCCAGGAGTTACCCTGCACCTCCCCCTCCACTTCCTCCCTGGCAGAGAAACTATTTCCTGGCCAGCGCTATTTCTGCCCATCCGTTTCCAGAAGGCAGGGGCTCCAGTCACCCCCTCCTCACCTCCCTGCAGTGCCCTCCCAGTCCCCAGGGAGCAGGGGCCGAAATAGCCTCTGGCCAGGATGTGGAGGGCATCAGAGGACAGAAGGGGCTCTGGGAGGTCCCCAGCACAACAGCATCATGGGCCTGGGGGGAGGGCTGGGAACAGGGTAGGGGCTCAATCAAGGTGGGGCTGGGGACAGTGCTGACTAGAAGGATGGAGTGTCCGAGATGGGACCAGAGGAGGATGGGAGAGGATGGGGTTGGGATGAGCAAGCCCGGCATTGGGACCAGGTTAGGAATCTGCAGAGGGGAACAGGAAAGGAATCCAGAGTGGCATGGGGTGGGCTGGGATCTGGGTGGGCTGGAGGGAGGTGCAGGTGAGCTCAGAGGGCCCTGAGTCCAAAGATGTTGCTGGGACCCGAGTTGAGATTGGGGCCCGGAATGTGGATGGAGTTGAAGGTGGAGGGTGAGGGTGGGGTTTGGGTTTGGGAGTGGGGTGGGTGCAGAGGGTACTAAGGAGGTTGAGATTGGGGTTGGGGTTGAAATTGGGGGCTGGGGAAGGACTGGGTGGTACAGGACTGAGTGAGGAGGGGCAGGAGGGAGTGGAGGGTGGGTGCTGAGCTGGGCCTGGGGCTAGGGTCAGGAGTGAGACCGGTGGGGGAAGGAGTGAAACCAAACATGGGGATGGGATTGGGGTGGAAGGGAGTGGAGGCCTGGGAGTGGAATGAGGTGGACCCACTCAGGGCTGTCAAGGTGTTGGGCAAAGAGATGACTTTAAAGACGCTGTTTGAAGAAGGGGCACAGGCTCTGATACAAAATAGAGACCCACACAAGGGGGCTGCAGTGAGTGCCCAGTGGGTACAGAAAAGCACCCAGGGGGACCCTGAGGCCTGGCCTAGGGATGGGTTGACCGGGCACAGGATGAGATGGGCTGGCGATAGGGATTAAGTGTGCCAGCCCTCCCCCTCCCTCAAAAGATATCAAGTCTGGAACCCAGCACTCAAAATGTGACCTTCACTGGAAATCGGGTCTTTCCAGAGGTTATAGGGTCATAGCCCTTAATCCAGTATGTCTTTATAAAAGGGGGAATTTAGACACAAAGACACCGAGAAGAGGGGAGGGGGAAAGGCAGCAAAGTGAAAGATCCGCCTGATCCCCCACCCCCGGGAAGGCCAGAGCTTGCCGGCAGGAGGCTCCAGGCAGTATTTTTTGTTGTTTGAAGCCACCCAGTTGTGGTACCTGGGAAAACCCTCCTGCTGGTGCTTAGATTTGGGTGGATCTAGTTAAGGGTGATGGTGGAGGTTAGGCAGGGTAAAGAGGTTGAAGGTCACATGGGGACATGAGTTACCTAATTGAACTTCAAGGTGTAGATTGGGGATGGAGTTAGGATTGGGTTCAGAGTGGGATGGGAATGAGACGGGCCTGGGGTCAGGGAGGGCCACGGGGTTGAAAGCAGATGCTGGAAATGACGGAAGGTTGAGTGAGGCTGGAGAGGGAACCCGGTGGAATAGCAGGTGGGGAGAGGATGGGACCCCAGTTGTGTTGGGGTGTGGCTCAGCGGCACAGCGCTTGCCTTGCATACTGGAGGCACTGGGTTCGAGCCTCAGCACCACATAAAAATAAATGAAAACATAAAGATATTGAGCTGGTGTATAACTAAAAAGTTAGTAAAAAAAAAAAAAAAGAATAGTGGGGATGGGGGTCGGGTTTCACTTGGTGGGGGATGAGGGGGAGATGGAGGGTCAGGACCTCCCCACTCACCTGACAATGGCTCCTTCATCTTTGGGGGCTCTGGGACCTTGGGTGGGGGCTCAGGAGCAGCTTCCCCGGCTGGGACCACCCTCTCAGCCAGGGATGCCCGCCGAGGCTTGGGCCCACGCCCCAGGCGCAGGAAGGCCAGTCTCCGGGCAGCCTCCCCAGGCCCCTCCTCGTCACTGTGGGCGCGTGTCCCCTGCAGCCGGGCCAGGAGGCCAAAGTCTGCTGAGCTCCTTCGGAGCCCCGGGGGCAGCACGCGGCCCAGGAAGGAGCGCGGTGGCCCATCCCCGGGACTGCCTACCCGTCGGCCTGGGGCCCAGCCCAGCCGGAAAGGGGACAAGCCTGCCAGCTTCTCCAGGGTGGCGCGGCGGTGACAAGACGTTCCATTGGGCAGAGTCCCCAGCTCCCCAGATTCTTCTTCCAGCCCTGGAATGTCCTCGAAGGGGTTCCGAGAGGACCTCAGGGGCAGAGTCCCTGCCCGGGGCACCTTAGGGTCTGCCACCCCTAGGCTCTTCAGGATGGGCATTTTGACAGGCGGGCACCTGGGGAAAAGAATGACCAGGGAGAGTGATGACCACTTTGGCACGTGGATGTGCCAAGCACGTTGTGGGAGGCCTGATCTGAGCTCTTAGTACCCCCTGAACCTCACTGGGGGGGTGGCACGTACGATTCCATGATCCTGCAGGGGGCAGTCTCTCCAGGCTGCACATCCGGGCACCTGCCTGGGCCCCTTTGCCACCTCCCCTGTTCACCTGGGGCCCTGTCCCCTCTGCCTCCCTCGTCCCTCCAGCAAACACTTCCTAGGAAAATCCAGATCCTCAGGGACAAAAGGAGATTGGTGGTTGGAAGGGGCTGGGGAGAGGGGCTGGGAGTGCCCTCCAAGGGGTATAGGGTTTCCTGTGGGACATGAACGTGGCCGGAACTACAGAAGTGGCCAGTGTGCTAAACGCCACCGAATTGCACACTTTACATTGGTGGGTTTGGTTTTGTGTATTTGAACAAAATTAAACAACAAAACCCCTCACTAGATCTATGGACCCCTCCTGTGCAGGTGTTAGGGACACAGTGGTCACTAAGGCAGACCTGGTCCCTGTCCCTGCAGGGCTCACAGCTTCCTGAATCCTGCCGGCTCCATCTCCAAGTCTCTCTCTCCAGTCACTGGTGTCTCAGGTCTGTCCCTCTCCCTTCCGTGGCCCCTGCCCAGCCGAGTCCTGCCCACAGCTCTGCCCCAGATCCTCCCTGGACTCCGGCCTCTAGTTCTGACATCTCCTAGACCCCTCCCCGGCTCCTGACCCTTCCATGGCTCCCCCGTGCCTGGAGACAAAGCTCAGGCCCGTCCCCACAGCCGGTGTTGTCCCCATTGCTGTCCCCCCCCCCCGACTTGGGACTCCCTGGGTGTCAGCCCTGCAGCTCGTCTACACAGAAGCCGGGCCTCAAGCTTCAGGACTCGGTTTCCCTGCCCCACTCCTCCAGGACACCTTCCCCCATCCCGAGGCTGGGTCAGAACCCCTCAGGGCTCCCAGAACCCCTGGCTCCCTCATGCCAGCCCTGCCCCCCCAGTCATCACCGTCTGGGGACAGATCTGTTTCCCCACTGGACTGGAGCCCCGGGAGGGCAGGGCTGTGGCTGTCTCAGTCACTGCTGCGGTCCCAGTGCCAAGCGCTGGGCGGGCGCTCGGGGAATGGGTGCTAGCAGGAAGCAGAGGAAGGAGGAGGCAGACTGTCCCTTCCTCGGGTGGCGGGTCCTTCTGGAAGAGGTCAGTAGGGAGCAGGCCACAGGGTTCAGGGAGACTCGGAAGAGCACTCTTTAAAATGATGAAATAGGGCTGGGCTGCAGCTCAGAGGAGGCGCTTGCCCAGCAAGTGTGAGCCCCGGGGTCCATTCCCAGCACTCGTGAAATGACCAACTAACTGAATTCATGACTGAAAGTTTTCAAATGACAAAGTAGTCTGACCATTCAGAAAAGTGTAGAAAACAAACTTAATAAACACCCCTGTGCTCCCAGCTACATCTAATGCAACCCTTTGTTCTATTTGCTTCAGGGGCTTTTAGTGGTGGCGCATGCCTGTCATCCCAGCGGCTCAGGAGGCTGAGGCAGGAGGATCCCAAGTTCAAAGCCAGCCTCAGCAACTTAGTGAGGCCCTAAGCAACTCAGCGAGACCCTGTCTCTAAATAAAAAATAAAAAGGGCTGAGGATGTGGCTCAGCGGTTTAGCGCCCCTGGGTTCAATCGTGGGTACCAGATTGATGCAGTGAGTGTGTGTGTATGGGCGGGGGGACAAGTAACAGCTACTCCCTGGTCCTCTCCTGGGTCCCTCTCCATCTCCTTCTCCCAAGGAAATGGAAAGGTGCTGTCCCTCCATCAGGTAGACTTGGATCTCCTGCCCCATGCATTCAGAAATAATGTCTTGCCTCACATAGTTTCAGCCACTTTAAATTACACACTTGTGTCTTGCAACTTAATGGAGTTTTGTTGCTGCTGTTTTGTTTTGTTGAGATGGGGTCTCACTTGACTGGACTGGCCTCAAAGTCCTGGGGTCAGTAGTCCTCTGTCTAAGCCTCCCAAGTAGCTGTGACTCCAGTCATGGGCACCCTGCCCAGCTGGTTTTTTTTTTCTTTTGTTCAAACTACAAATTTGTGAGATTTACTCACATCCACCATTTATTTTAAGAGCTGTATGATATTCCATTGTGTCACTATGACGAGACGCAGTTAAATAAAGCATCAGGCATTCACCGGTTCTCATATTGCTGACCTGTAGTTTTTGTTTTGTTTTGTATGGGATTGAACCCAGGGGCTTTTACCATACACTGGGCGCGTTTCATTATTTTTTTATTTTGTTTTTCATCAGGGCCTAATTAAGTTGCTTACGGCCTCGATAAGTTGTTGAGGCTGGCTTTGAACTTGAGATCCTCCCATCTCAGCCTCCCAAGCTGCTGGTAGTACAGGCGGGCGCCACCACATGCGGCCCACGGGTTGTTTTCAATGGTCACAGGGTTCTGTGCACCTGAGGGACAGGTCAGCACAGTGCAGCGTGCACAGATGGATGAGCGGCCAGGTGCTGGGGCCTGACGGGCTGGGCTGGCCACAGGGTACCTCTATCTGTGGCGACCCCTCCTTCCCCCATTTCAGTCTCTGGACTTCACTTGTGCTTCTTAACCTCTCTGTTTCTAGAAACACCTTTAGTCTCCATAGTCCCCTGCCCCCAGGGTGGGCAGTTGTCATGGCAACCCCTTGCTGGGAGCCCCCGTGTCTGTGTGCACTCAACCCCCCCCAAGTACAGCAGTGTTCCCAGGTGCTGATTGCCCTCCTCTTCCACACTGGCTTCCGCATGCCTCGTCCATCATCCCCCCAAACTGCCTCCCACATCCCTGCAAACTGTCTCCACCCCTCACCCCCATGTCAGTGTTGGCCACACTAGCTCTTTTGTTGGTACCAAGGATTGAACTCAGGGGCGCTCCACCACTGAGCCACATCCCAGCCCTATTTTGTATTTATTTAGGGACAGAGTCTCACTGAGTTGCTTAGTGCCTCGCTTTTGCTGAAGCTGGCTTTAAACTCGTGATCCTCCTGCCTCAGCCTCCTGAGCTGCTGGGATTTTAGGCGTGGGCCATCACGCCTGGCCCAGACTAGCTTTGACACTCCCCGGCCAGCTCCTATATCCCCCCAGACTGAATCCAGTACCCCCCCAAATTATTTCCAGCACTCCCCAAACACGGCACCAAGGCTTGCCCCCAACGGGTCCTGACTGTCCCCTTCCTGGCTCCAGCACCCGTCTCTGCCAGCTGACTCCCGACATCCTGCCCTCTCCAGTGCCCTGTCGCCTCCAGTGCCGGAGCCCCTGACTCACTTCCCAGGCATCCCGCAAGCAAGCCCCCTGCCTCCCGGCTGGCTCCCCCGCAGGATGTCTCGGCCACCAGAGCTTCCCTCTTTGGGCCCCTCCTCCTCTTCCTCGCTGCCCCCAATCCCCCACAGCCACCCTCACCTCTGTTTGCAGATTCCGTCACTACCTAGTCCCCAGCATCTACATTGGAGCGCTGTCCTCACAGGTCACATGTCCCCAAACCCGAAGCCCATGATACCACCCCAGTCTGATCCTCGCCCCAAACACAATCTCATCTTCGGCGTCTCCAATCCCGGCCGATCCTGTGTCCCGTCCTGGAGACGCTGTGACTTCCCGGCCTCAGTCTTCCCATCTGCATTCAGAGCACATCCGACCCAGGGGCTCCTCTCGCCTCCAGCAGTGGTCGGGGCTCTCCAAGGCCCCTGGAGCCCCCAAGTCCTCGGGCGAGCTTCCCCCTGCCCGTCTCCTCTGCCCTCCCACTGGCACCTACCAGCGCCGGCCACTCTCGGCCCCCAGCCCCTTCTTGGTTCAAGGTGCAGGTTGCAGGGGCCACCAGTCCAGGCCACCTCTGGGCTGTGCTTCTTTGAAGGGACCCCAGGGTGTGTCCCCCTCCCCGCTGCACACTCACCTCTGTCCTCGGTGCCTGTCCCTGTGTCCCCACTGCTGTCCTGTCCCCAGGCTACTTGGGCCAGGGCTGCTGAGAGCTTAGATCTGGGGGGGGGGTGGCTTGGAGGAGGACAATTTCCTGTCAGGAAACCCCTCCCTCTCTGGGGCCAGGGGCGGGAAGGACTCATTATCTGTCTGCCCTTTTAGGCAGGCTGCGGTTGGCCTGGGAAGGACAGGCCCACAGCAGTCCCCACCCTCACCCCCCCCAGGCCGGAATCCACCCGCCCCCTGCCTGTTCTTCACGCCTCCCGAGGTGACAACACCATCCTGGGCACCCCGGGAGACACCCCGCCCTGGACTGGAGCCCAAAACCTCTCTCCAGCCCAAGCAAAGCCCGAGGCCTTGGACAGAGAAGCCTGTGGACATTTCCAGGGGAGCCCCCCACACCTGGGGTCTCCTGTGGTGAGGTGAAGACTGGGAGGAAGCCTGCTGGTCGGGTGGGTGCTGGGCCTGGGGGGGTTATTGCTTCGCCCAGGAAACTGCCCGGCCCCCCCCTCGATGTCTTCCTAGTCTCAGTTCCAGACCCCCCGCCGCCCAGCCCCGCTCTGCCAGGCCCCAGCTGATCTGTGGGCTCCTGAAACCATCAGATGTGCCTGCCCTGCGTCTCCCGCTCCAATGTCAACCTGGCAAAGCAGACTCAGTCCACGGTGCTCATGGCCCACCGTAGGCCACTGAGCCACATTCCCAGCCTTTAAAAAATAGACATTTTATTAGAGTTGCTTAGGGCCTCCTTAAGTTGCTGAGGCTTGCTTTGAACTCCACTTGAGGATCAGCCTCCCGAGCCACCAGGATTACAGGTGTGGGCCACCGCACCCAGCTAGGGTCTTTTCCTGTGTGTGTGTGGGTGGGGGCTGCTGGGGATGGAACCCGGGGTCTCCTGCAGGCCAGGCAAGCTCTCTACCACCAAGAGCAGGCCAAGGCTGTTTCTAGGTTTACTCAGTGTTCACCATGGAACAAGTGTTCACTGGCCGGGGTGAGGTTGTGGTGGCAGATGGTCAGCAGTTCCTCTCTGAGCTCAGTGGACACTGAGGCTAGGGGAAGTGGGTCAGGGGTTAAGATTCCAAGGTCTGAAGGCCCCACTTCAAGGACAATAGGCTGTGGGGGAAGGGCTGGTTGGGTGGGGGGGCAGGAGGGGAAGGAGCAGGCCTCAGCCCCCCCACCCACTGTCCGTCAGCCTCTGCAGGAGGACCTGGGGTCACCAGTAGCCCATCGTGGGCTGTGACCACTGTCAGATCCCCTGCCCCCTCTTTTTTAATTTAAAAATTTTTTGAACTCTATACTCACATAGCACGAAATTTGCCCTTCGAAACATACAATTCAGTGGGTTGTAGTTTATTCACAAGGAAACTGGAGGCATCACCATTAATTCCAGAACATTCACATCATTCCCCAAGGAATCCTGTACCCATTACAGGCACTCCCAGCCCTCTTTCCCCTCAGCCCTTGACAACCACTAAAGATTTGTCTCTAAGAATTTGTCTATTTTGTACATTTCTTGTGAACGGAATCATTTTGGATCTGACTTCATTCACTAAACATATGTTTTCAAGGTTCATCTACTTTGTAGCTTTCTCTGTGTAGGCCTCACTTTTCCCCATCTTGGAAATGGGGTGGGAACAGTTCTGAGGAATAGGGGCACAGGGGTGGGCCCCAAAAGTGTGTCCTGCAGGTGTGGGGAGGCATGTGCTGCCCCCGTGTGGTCCACGGGAGGACTGCAGCTGTCTGGGCTAGAACTGGGAAGGGCTTGGGAGAGGTGGGTGGTGTCTGACCCCCTTATTCCACCCCAGGATCCCACTCCTCACCCCACAGAATCACTAAGCTTCTAGAACCCATCCTGAACTCTCCCCCACCGCCTTTGCCACTGTCCTTAATACTCCTTAGGCTTCACGTGCTGAATTCTGATAATAATGAAGTTCTAATCCAGGTCCTGGGAAGCACTTGACTTTAGATATCCTCCTTGATTGGTTGCACACTGCAGTTGCTGCTGTTATTATCCGGAAACAGGAAACCATCGTGGTTAAACCATCTGGAGTTGGGAGGCAGCTGGGTTCCAATCCCAGTCCTACCACTCACTGCCCGTCAGTTTCTGCATGTGACTTGTCTTCCTGGGACCTCTGATTCCTCATCTATAAATGGGTTGATAGAGATGACCTCTACCCCATGGGGTGGCAGAAAGGGTCCAGTGCTCAGGGCCTGGCATGGGAGAGGTCTCCATGATCTACAGGGCTGAAGATCTCAACCAGAGACATGCTGGGAAATCTTCAATGACCAACTTGCTTGGGGGAGGAGGAGGGTGATCTGTATGTAACACTTGGCAATTTCCATGATGTAAGTATCCCCACTGCTAATTTCAAGCTACCAAGGTCAGCCCCAGAAAGGATTTTTGGGAAGAGATACATAGTAGCCCACGCCCACACAGCAGCTTCATCAAACAGCTACAATAGAGGTAAAGAACCACAGGATCATAGAATATGGGAAAACGAAGCAAAATAATTAGGATGTATGAGTGTATATTACCTTTGTTTTTAATAGAATTTATTTAATTGCATGTTTGCATAATTTAATGTTTAATAATGGCCATGGTTAACAACCATCCCAAAATTCCTGAGACTGTAATGATCAGCTTGCTTGAACTAGCTCCAGCACACTGTTGGAAACATCTGTTTTTCAGAACAAAACAAAACTGTTTTTCAGAAAGGGAAACTGAGGTTCAGGAAGGTGAGCGGACTTTCCGACAGTTGGAGGCAGGACACAGACCTCCTCCCAGGGCGTGTGATTCTAGGAACAGGACAAGTGGTGTTGCTCTTGCTGTCATCCCACCCTGGTCTAGAGGACTCCGGCGGTTCCCACAGGCAAAGCTCTGGCCGTCCCTGGTCTGTTTTTCCACCCAGAGAGCAGCGTGCCCTGCAGCTGTGCACCGGCGCAGGGTCCCTCCGCACCTGCTTCAGCCCGGCCAGGGAGGTCACATGCAGACCCAACCCCTCATTTTATAGCCAGGGAGAGGGAGCCCTGGAAAGATCGGGTGCCTGCTCGGGGTCATGCGGATGGACAGAGGGTCCTCAACCCCAGTGGAGGTGCAGAGGACACTGGAGGATACCTCTTGGGGTCTGGGGTTTTCAGGGGGTGGGACGGCAGCACTAGAGAGGCTGGCCAGCCCTCTGTGGTGGCCAGGTCCCCCCGCCATTCTGTCCCACCCTCCCGTGCCCTAAGACCCCCCACACCCTGAGCACCCGGACGCGGCGCCTGGGCGAGGATGTGGGGGTGGGCGCGCCTCTGCCTGGGGCCTGCTTCTCGGAGGGGCCGGGGTGTCTCTGCTCTGTCTCCTGATCTCCATCCTCTTCCCAGGTCTCTGCTCTCTTTCTGTCTCGCGGTACGGGACTCTTTGTCCTTCTCCGCGTGTCTCTCTCTGTACCTCTCACCCTCTCTTCCTCCCTGCGTTTCCCCCTCTTTCTGTCCTCGGTGTTGGTCTCTGTCCTTTGCCTCTCGGTTCACCTCTTTGTGTCTCTGGGTTTCTCCCTCCCTCGGGCTCTGCCTCCGCCTCTCGCGGTCTCTGTGTGCCTCCCTATCTCTGTTGCTATCTCTCTATCTCTCCATCTCTCGGCATCTCTCGGAGCGTCTCTGGCGCTCCGCCTCAACATTTCTCTCCCCTTCTTTTCCGGTGAGTCTCGGCTTTCCTGTGAGAACTTGCTCCCAGTCTGCGCGCCCAAACCTGCCTCCGCCCCCAGCGCCCCCAGCCAGCCCGGGCCTGCGCCTTTAAGGGCCGGCGGCGGGGGCGGGGTCTCAACGGCCCCGCCCTGCCCGCCCCTCCCCCTGACGTCCCTTCCTCCCCAGCCCCTCGGTCGCCTCCCTACGCCGCCGCCCGGGCCGGCTCCGCGCCCCCTCCCCGGCCCCCGCCCGCCCGCCCGCCTGCCGGCCGCCCCCATGGCGCCCCGGGCCCACACTGCGCGGGGCCACTAGGACCCTCGGTGTCCCCTCCCCCGCCCTGCCCCCTCTCCCGCGGCGCGGACTTGGGCGTCCACGGCGCCCAGCTTTTGAGCTCGCGTCCCCAGGCCGGCGGGGGGGGAGGGGAAGAGAGGGGACCCCCGGATCCCCGCCCCCCCCACCCGGCCGCCCCTGCCCCCTGGGACCCGGGGAAGATGTCTTCGCGGACGGCGCTGGCCCCGGGCAACGATCGGAACTCGGACACGGTGAGTGGGGCCCGGCCCCTGGGGGAGCCCTGGCTGGGTCCAGCCACCGATCCCGTCGCCGGGTCCTGCCACTCGCCCCGCGAGCCCCTGCCCTCGTTTCCCGGGCCCGACCCGGCTCGCCAGCCCCTGGCCCGCTCCGACTTCCAGGCCTCTCTGTCCTCTCCCCCTCGGCCCAGCCTGACCCCTGGGGCGCCCCTCTCTCGGGACCCCTCTCCGGTCCCTCTGGAGACCGCTTCCGCTCGGTCTCTTCCCTCCAGGAAGCCCCCTCCCCTGCCTCCCACGAGCCCCTCCCTTCCCGGCTGTCCAGCCCTTTCCCCTCCCGGCTCCGCGGCCGACCACTCGCCCCTTCCTGGATTTGCAGGGCCCCTGACCCCCTAGGCCCAGCCCTGGCCCTCTCCCAGCAAGGCCGCCCAGCCCTGCCTCTGCCCGGCCGTCGCCGTCCGGCACCGCCGCCCAGGCCCCCTCCTCTGGCCCCAACCCCCCGGCCCTGCGGGCTCCACCGCCCTGTGGGCAGCTTCTCTCGAGCCGGGTGCCACCTGCCCAGGCCCAGGGCCCTTTCTGGCTTCAAGGTCTCTCTACTCCCAGGCCTGGTGCTCCTCTGCCAAGCAGCCCTGTCCTTGGATTCCCCACGTCCCCCGCCCCCTCCCCCCAGGTGCCACCTGGACCCTCTCTGGTCTCTTCCTCTCTCAGGAAGCCTTGGCCTCCCAACTCCAGGCCCCCAGCCCTGGCTCGGATTTCTAGGCCCTGGACCAGTCTGACTCCAGGCCTCATCCTCCCTGTATCTGCTCCTCAGCTCCAGGCAAGCCCCCTCCCCAAGCCCCCAACTCCTGACCTCCGCCTCAGCCGGGTCTAGGCCCCTTCCCCTGTGGCCACCATCCCTGCCCCGGAGTTCCAGACCCTTCCCTTCTCCTGCCCCAGGGCCTCCCCTTTCCTTGCCAGGGGTCTGTCTCCCAAGGAAGCCCCTCCTCAGCTCTGACTCAAAGCTCAAAGGACTAGCTTCCCGTAGACTGGCTTCCAGAAGGCTCCTGGACACGAAGCCTCTGGTCCTGCCCTCCTGGCTCGAAGCCCTTTTCTCTTGGGGTCACTGCTGCAAGCACTCTCCCCAGATTCCTAGGCCTCTTGGTGGCCCACAGGGCTCAGCCCCCGTTGCTCTAGGCGCTCTTACCCCGGGAGCCCCTTCCCCCCACTTCCAGGCCCCCAGGCCTCTGTCCAGTTTCAAGGGCTGCTCCTAGAAGCTCCCCCTCTCCATTTCTGGGAGTTTCCCCGAGGCTTGGGCCCTGGCCCAGGGGTTCCTGGCCTCAGACCCCCACGCCCCTGTAGCTCCAGCCCTCTCCCCCTCCCCAGGCCCCTCTGTCACTACACCATGGCCCAGACAGTCCCAGTGAGCCCCTTCCTGATTCCTAAAGACCAGCCACCAAACAGCCCAGACTGCTTTTCTACTAGGGTCATTGTACCTGCCCCCCAGGCCTTCACTGCCACCCCAGGTCCCCTCCAGAGGTCCCTCCCTTCTTTATCCTGCAGGGCCCTTCCTCCAGAGATGCCCCACCCCATTGTCACGGTGGGCAGTTTGGAGTCTTGGCCAAGGCCACCCGCCTCCCTTCCCATTCACTACAGTGAGGTACCAGGGAGGAACCTGGCCCCTGGTTCTGGGTCCTAGTGTGGCTCTGCATGCTGGTTTGCATTGTGTCCTCAGAAAACTGGTTCTTCCTCTTTGAGCCTCAGTTTCTTGACCTGGAAAATGGGGGTGACCATTGGGTCCCTCAGAGGATTATCAAGGCATTGTGGGTGAAGCGCTCCTCTGATGTTGGCCGCTGTGCGACTGTGGAGATGAGTCAGAAGGCCAAGCACTCGTACCCAGGGCTGTCATTAGTCGTGCGGGAGCTTGCAGAGCCTGCTCCAGCCTCAGTTTCCCCGACTCTCAGGGGGTGACGCTGGCACCTCCCTGCCGGGAGATTTTCAGGAGGATGCTTGTTGTCATTTTTGCTGCTTAAAGTATTCAGATAAACTCGGGTTCCAGTCAGGTGTCTCTTCCTCCCTGGCGTGTGACCTCCAAACCTCAGTTTCTGTGTCTGTACAATGGGGTTGATAGCAGGACGTCCTCTTGTGTTGGTGGTTGCGATCTGTGCCTGGTGGGGACTTAGGATGGCTGGTTCGATCCTGTCCTGCCACTCCAGACAGTGAGGCCTGCCTGTCCCTGTCTGGAAGCCACCTGTCTCCCTCTGGGATCCGAGGCGGCAGCCCCCTCTTCTACCTGGGGGAACAGCCATGGGTCATGCTCTGCCCCAAGGTCTAAGGCCCCACAGGGGTCAGCCTCCCAGGTTCCCGAGCAGCAGGCCTGGCGTCAGTGGGAGGGACAGGGCAGTTTCAGCTCCTGCTCCCAACTCCTGGGGGCTTTGTCACCACTGTCCCAGCTGCTCCTCCCAGGGGTCCCTCAGCAGTGCTGCCTCCGTGGGTGCCATCCCACCTTCACTCGTGCCCCCTGACAGGCCCCCTGCGGCCTCCTAGCCCTCATCTCAGTGCCCTGTCACCAGGGCTTCCCCTCCCCTGGGAGGAGGCCTGGCTGGAGCAGCGCTGGGGTCAGTGCTCTGGGTTCGGATCCCAGCTGCTCCCTCACCTGCCCTGTGACCTTGGGCAGGTGCTCTCCCCCTGAGCCGCGGGGACTCTGGGGTCCCTGCCTGGAGAATGCATGTCTTATTGGACCCCGCTGGAGGCCGGGGGAGGGCCCACCTGCCAGGCATGTGCCTGGAGTGGCAGCCCGGAGGTGGCTCCTGCCCAGGCTTGGGGACCTTGTCTTGTTGCCCCTGTGAATGAGCTGTGTGACCTTGCCCAGCCCCTTCCCTCTCCAGGGCTCAGCTCCTCTGGCGCGGGGAGGTCCAGGTGCCCCCACCAGGCTTGGGTGTCAGGCGTGGGGAGCTGCTCGCTGCCCGAGGCCGGGCCGCCCTGTGCCTCGCTGTAGGGGCGGGCGGCGTGAGAGTGTGGGCAGGAGCTGGCTGGGCTCGGATCCTGGCCTCGGCCTCAGTTTCCTCCTGTAGAATGGGGGACACTGCTGTGCGGGCCTCATGCCACGTTAATGTTATGTTGGTCGTCACTGCGAGGTGGCCTGGCAGGGAGTCCCTGTGAGGAGCAGACAGGGCCCCCAGCCCATCGGCCTGTCCTCCTCGGCGTCCTCTGTCCTCTGATTCCTACCTCTGGCCCTGAGAGGGCACGGGGACGGCAAGGACTAAGCAGAGCCATTTTGGCTGAGCCTCTGACACGCTGGGCCCAGCCCTGAAAGGGAGCCACAGTCCCTGGGGCTCACAATCCAGGACAGGGCAACTCGGAGCAGGCAGGTGACCTGTGGGGGAGGGAGCCTGGGAGGGACAGGATGGCAGGAACAGAATGTTGGGGACAGAGGAGTGGGGGCGTGGGAGACGGCGGGGCAGGGTGGTGAGGGCAGCCCGAGGATGAAACAGTGTTTCCCGTGGCGGGCGGGTCTCGGTGGCGGGGCCAGGCTGTCGGGGCGAAAGGAAGGCTTGGCTCCCGAGTCTGGAGTAGAACTGGGGCGAGGATGATGGGACTCAGCAGTCCCCTCTGCGTGCTCAGGGACACGTTCCAGGACTTCCAGGAGACACCTGGAATGGGGGATAAGCCAAACCCGGCACACATGTTCAAGTTCAATTTTAAATTAGGTACAGTAAGAGGTTAACGATAACCACTGCCAGGCTTGGTCGTGCCCACATGTAATCCCAGCTGCTTGGGAGGCTGAGGCAGGAGGATGGCAAGTTCAAAGCCAGCCTCAGCAACCTAGTGAGGCCCTGAGCAACTCAGCAAGCCCCTGTCTCAAAATAAATATAAGAAAGGGCTGGGGATGTGGCTCTGTGGTTAAGCCCCCCAGGTTCAATCCCCATCACCAAATAAAAAAAATAAATAAATAACTTCTAATGAAATAGGACAATTATAATATAGTATAATAAAAGGTGTTTAAAACTTACAAATTGTTCATTACTGGAATTTTCCATTTAACATTTTCGGATCATGGTTGATCACGGGTAGCCGGAACCACGGCAGGCAACACTGGGTGAGGGGGCACTAGCGCCAGGGTCTGGCCATCGGGCTGATGTCTGGGTGTGGGGCAGAATTGGGGGCTACAGCCGGGCAGTTATGGATGAAGCCGAACGTGAGGATCTGTGGGGGTCGGGGTGGAATGTCATTGACTGGGTTGAGGGTCACAGCATTTAGAATAAACGGGCGTCCCAGTGAGACCGCGGAGGCTGGCTCCTGAGGCCGGGATGCTGCAGAGCCGGGCCGTCCCTCTTGTTCCTGGAGGCCTCTTGTATAGAATGGAGGGTCCCCAGGGGAGGTGGTTCTCTGCAGCCCGAGTTGGAAAAGGGCCACCAGGGGCCAGGGCCAGGGCCCTCGTGAACCGCCCAGCCACAGGTGCCGCTGGAGGCGGGGTTGGCCGCTCACGCTCGTCTCCCCCGCTCAGCATGGCACCTTGGGCAGTGGCCGATCTTCAGACAAAGGACCGTCCTGGTCCAGCCGCTCCCTGGGTGCCCGCTGCCGGAACTCCATCGCCTCCTGCCCCGAGGAGCAGCCCCACGTGGGCAACTACCGCCTGCTGCGCACCATCGGGAAGGGCAACTTCGCCAAGGTCAAGCTGGCCCGGCACATCCTCACCGGGCGGGAGGTGAGTGGACACAGGTGGGCCGCACCAGAGCTTCCAGAGAGCTCAGGGTTGGCCTCGCTTCGCCTTATGACCTCAGGTGGGTCCCGGACTCTCAGATTTTACCCAAGCAACCCCAGTGCCCAGAGAAACCAACTCAGGCCTCCCTGAAACTCAGGAAACGGGACGGCGGGCAGAGCCCTTCTCGTCCTGAGGATGCACATGGCCTCTGCGTGCTCCTGGGCCACCTCATGGCCTTAGTGGTGGCTTGGGCTCTTCCAAGTCTTCTGGAGATCTTGAGAACACACTGACTTTATTCAAGTTTGGCCTCACTCTCCAGAGTCCTGCCCCCCCAGAGTCCCGTCCCCCATGCCCCCAGTGAGGAGTCCTACCTGCAAACATTATTGCAGAAAGAGCTGTGCAAACCTCCCTCTACACAGGAGAGCTGAGGCTCATGCTTAAAGGGAAAAAAGACCGTGGGTGGTTTCATGGTTTCCTCTGGGCTCTTTGCAACTATGGAATTGGTAGCTGAAGTCCTGCTGGGCATGGACTCTCCCTGCCCCTAGGCAGCCTATGGCATAGGCACAAAAGACTCCAGGCCCCGATGGTTTTATGGGCAAATTCTACCTAACATTCAGACGTCATGCCAGTTCTTCCAGAGACTGAACAAAGAGGCTGTGCTGCCCAACGGGTGTGTGGGGTGTGTGCATGGTGAGCCTGCGCGCGCACAGTGCTGGGGATGGAACCTAGCACTTCACGCTTGCTAGGCACGTGCTCTACCACTGAGCCACGTCCCCAACCCCCCCAACAGATTTGTATGTGCCAGCGTAGCCACAAGAGCCAAACCAGACCAGAACAGAATTATGGGCCAAGCTTACTGGTGAATGTAGGTACAAAAATCTTGTTTATTTTTTTTTGAGACAGGGTCTCAGTGTGTTGGCCAAGCTGGCCTCAAACCAAAAACCTGAAACAAAATATTAGCAAATAGAACCATCGGCAGAAGAGTGGAACAAAGCGGTGCGATAACAAAGCTGGGTTTATCCCAGGAATGCAGAGTTCTTTTCCATTTGACAATTTATTCACGCACTTCGTCACATTCACAGATTAAAGGAGAGAAACCATATGATCTTCTCAATACTGGCATGAAAAGTGTTTGACAAAATTTTTAAAAATCGATTCGTGAGAATATGAGGAAAGCTAAGGGACCCTCTCCCCCACACAGAACATGTAGTTCACCATATGTGGATCCTGCACGTGGTTCCAGAGGTTTCTGAGAGGACTGGATTATAAGGGAATGAGGCTCCCAGGGAAAGAGCTCTGTAATCTAGTTTATCTGGGGGTGGCCCGGAGCCCTGTGGGAGAACTACGGACCTGGGGCTAGAGGAAGACTGGGGGGTACTGGGGATTGAACTCGGGTTTCTCTACCACTCAGTGACCTGCCAGCCCTTGTTGTTTATTATTTAAAAAAATAAATTTAGAATTTAATCTTTATTTCATTTATTTACTTTTATGTGGTGCTGAGGATCGAACCCAGTGCCTCACTGTGCTAGGCAAGCGTTGACCTCTGAGCTACCTACGTCCCAGCCCCCGTTGTTTTAAATTTTGAAACAGACTGTTGCTAAGTGGCTGAGGCTGGCCTTGAACTTGGGATCCTCCTGCTTCAGCCTCCCAAATTGCTGGGATTTACAGGCTTGTGCCCCCCTGCCTGGCTTAGATTAGGATTTTTTTTTTAAGCCACTCATTGGAAAAGTGCATAGGGTTCTATCCCAATATGTGATTTAAAATAGAAACTAAATTGTAAAATAAGTAAAGTTCAATAATATTCGAATTCTTTTCCCCATTGAGGACTGCCTCAAAGACCTTTTTTTTTAAAAAAAAAAATCTTTAAAGGTTTTAAGAGGTTTTTTTTTTTTTCAAAGAGTTTAAAAGACTGTATTAAGCTGCATAACCTTGACCAAGTGACTTGCCTCGGTTTCCCATTTGTAGGTTTTTATTTTTGTTGGTACCAGGGACTGAACCCAGGAGCACTATACCCTGAGCTACAACCCCAGCCCCTATTTTTTAAAAAAATTGAGTCAGGCTGTTGCTAAGTTGCTGAGGCTGGCCTCAAACTTGTTGTCCTTCTGCCTCAGCCTCCTGAGCTGCAAGGATTACAGGCATTCGCCTCTGCACTCAGCTCGGATTCCCATTTGTGAATGGGGGTGGTCCTGGTACTCCTGTGGGGTCGCTGTGAGGGTGAAGAGGTCCCATTTGTGCATCACACAGACCAGGGCCTGGTGTCCAGTGTGTGGGAGTAAAGTGAGCTAGTTGTTATTTACCATTTCATCTTTGAACAAAGGTGTGACGGGCCAGGTGTGGTGGCACACATCTGTGATCCCAGCAAGGAGGCTGAGGCGGAAGGACTACAAGTTCAAGTTCGAGGCCAGTCTCAGCGTCTTAGTGAGATGCTGTCTCAAAAAATTAAAAGGGCTGGGATGTGGCTCAGTGGTAGACCACTCCAGGTACCTCAAAAAAAAAAAAAAAAAAAAAGGATGGGGTGGGTAAAAGCCCTGAGATCTTGGTCACCCTTGCCCACATAGACCCTGGAGCAGCCTCTTTGGGGTCCCGCCATGGAATGGGGGATACTTACCTGCAGAAGTAAGTGTGGCACTGGAGACGGGGTCTGTATGTGTGTGCCTCTGGCCAGGGTCCTCATCCTCTAGAAATGGCCTGGATAGAGGGCTTCTCTGAGAAGAGGCATCCAGGGTGATCAGAGTTGGGGACCTCCCCGTGTCAAGGGCCCGTGGAATCCTGATCTGTCCCCTTCCTCTCCCTCTAGGTTGCCATCAAGATTATTGACAAGACCCAGCTCAACCCCAGCAGTCTGCAGAAGGTGAGGCCCAGGGAAGGGGAGCAGGGCCGGAGCTAGTTTCCAGGGACAGCCAGGTGACCTGCCCAGCCCCCAAACCCTCCCCCCTCACTCTTCTCTGTCTTCCTTTCTGGCCTCGACAGCTGTTCCGAGAAGTCCGCATCATGAAGGGCCTCAACCACCCCAACATCGGTGAGGAGAGGAAGGGGTGGGCTCCGAGGCAGGCCACCAACTGGAGCGCGTGGGAAAGGAGAGAACTGGGGGGAGAGGGACCAGGGTTACAGCAGTTAGACCTGTTCCTCACAGTGGTGTCAGTGCTGTGTGACTTCAACCTCTCTGAGCCTGTTGCCTCCTCTAGAGTGAGGGGGATAAAAAGACCTATTTCAAGGTCATTGTGAGGAGTGGATAAGTTCATGCATCCAGGACGCTTCATTCAGGGCTGAGCTTTGGGATCTGATCTGTTTTCATCGGGAGCATCGTTGTCATTTCATTATTAGGCAGGGAGGGGACAGAGGGGCCTTATTGAGAGCCGCAGGGTCTGGCCTTGCAGCATCTGTTGATCCATCTTTTACTCCATAAATACTGGGTGGCTGCTGTGTGCCAGTGCCAGGGAGCAGTAAAGAAAGCAGACTAAGCCCTGGCCTCGCCCAGCTGGTGTCGTGTGTGTGTGTGTGTGTGTGTGTGTGTGTGTGTGTGTGTGTGTGTGTGAGAGAGAGAGAGAAGACACTGTGCCCCGCCCCGGGATCCTGCCCCGCCCCGGGCCCCTGCCCCGCCCCGGGCCCCT